TAGTATATTTTAAATTAGAAAATATTTATTTGGCATTCACGCTTACATGTGAATATTAGGGTGAGCCAATTGACAGACGAATACAATTGTAATTATGACTTATAATACGTTCTCGTAGCAGACAATTTGCTCTCTCATTTATAATTTATTTTTTAATCAGGACGATTTTCAGGCAAAAAAAAAATATTTACCGATTTGGTTTGCGTGCCCAGGTGAAATATACCAGTCCAGGTAAAATTACATCAGAGGGTATACGTTATTTGAAGGCATATCATGCGGCTAGAATTTGATCTCCGAAATATAACTTCATACGAATGCAAGCATTTATATATAATATTTGTATGATGCAAATAGTCTTAATGGCATCGCCAAAAAACTTGTTTTTTGGTAGTCAGTTCTCTTATCGACTTTTTAGTGACCAAAAGCTTTTCTGTAAAATATAGTTCCTGGTCGATTATAATGAATATTGTTCTAGCAAGAAATCCAAGAGTTACATAATCTATACATTTAATGACCATACGATATTAATTTTCCAATATCTCTGACATTTCGCTTGTTGGGTACACCACTTTGATTTTTATCAGATGAGCTCTTCAAACACCACTGCTTCTGTTACACACTTAGTAGTTCACTACTGTACTCAGATTTTTAATTTTAACCGGCTCTATTAAGCATTCAACGCAATCGTAACAGAAATTTCGCCCGAGTTCTTTAAAAACGAACAATATACTCGTATGTGCTTGTAGAATTATTATTTATGTGATAAATTCAGTATATGAAATGAACCACCCTTATAATACAAAGTAATGTAGTATATGCATTATTGGTTAATGCTTGAATGCATTTTGAAAACTTACAGACATCTTTTTTTATATTTTACATAATTTTTGTTTTCTATCTTAAGGAAATACTTAATTTTATATTTAATTAGTTTTGATTTGCGATGACTTAAATAAAGTGTAAAATGCGATAATGTTATAATAACACATATATTATATATATAATGATATAAATTATGGTTTAATAACACATATATTAACATATGTACATATATATATATATAGATTCATACTTTATATAAATGCATGCGAGAATTAAAGTCGCTAAAACGACCCAGTCGAAAAATTATTAACAATATGTACTTCTTGTTATTGGATATGTGATTTTGAAAAACTTATGCGAATACGATTACTGATACTTCTGTGATGAAAACAGATAATCTTTATGTAAAAAAATTAATAATTCGACATTTCTTTTACTAGTGATTTGTAGCTCACAAACCTAAAATATTTTGCCTCAGAATTAGTAGAAAATTGCGAATTGAATATTTTTTAACTTTTCTATCTCTTATTATGTCCGGCTTATTATCTAATAAAGAAGTATGAGCGATGATTTGGTTAGATGATGCGGCGTTGGAGTGTCTGGGAAACAATAAACTTGTATATTCAAAATCGATTATTTTTAGTTGCCATGAACTGCGATATATTTAGAATATCTACAAATAAAACAACCCTGAGAGTAATAACTACGATAATGACTTTATAAAGAGCTTAACTAGTCCAGCTTTTTCGTACCGGACCTGCACATATATGAGCACATACAGTTCGTACTTACCGTAGCGTTTTTTATACATACATATGTGCATTAAGTATGCTATCGCAAAATTCCTTGCATGGTTTGTTATTCGACAAATTGTTTGCAAATTGCTTTTGTATGCCATCATTTTCAGTTGCACCTTTTTTGATGTGCTTTCATTCACGACTTAAGGCCTTAAACAGTTAGGTATTACATTTTAACGGTTGTTTGGTTACTAAATGACATATCGGAAGAACGAGTGACAATAAAAAAAGGAGAATTTGCAGTTATTTCAACGATTGTATACGAATACTTTTAATGTTTGGCCTCATTTGGGTTATTGTATGAAAACACGTGCCAGAAACTCGTTTTTGTAAATTATTGTTTTGAATAAGAAAGGTAACAGCTTATCTCCCTTCAGATGAACCTTATCAATAGTGAGCCTCTTATTTATATTATAATGATATATAAATATCATCAGTATTTTCTAGAGATTTTCAGAGAACTAAGATCCCAGAAGGCAAGCGTGAAAATTTAGTATGTAAATACTGAACAATTTTCTCATGCGACTCAATCTTATACCATGTACCGACCGACATTTAATCACTAGATTTAGGCTGTTGAGTAGATCTCACTAATCTACTGAATTTTGTATCTCGTCACCGAGGAGATTTAACGCCATCTATTTGTCAGTAGGGAAATTTATGACATTATCATAAATAGAAAAAAATGTTAACAAACAAATAAATTATAACCATTGCATCTGAATTCACCTGGCAATCGACTTCCCAAATGGAAAAATGCGTACAATATTTCCATTGAGTGGAGAATATTTAAAACAAGATGACTTTTATAACAAAATGTGACATTACAATGCTTGCTTTTAATAAATATTAAACGATATGAATTTTTTAATGTCAAAAACAACTGTTTTATAAATCTCCAACGGCTGTGAGGACACACTTGATAAGTGATTATATTACATTGAATCTTGTTTAAAATTTTTGGTCGAAATATGGTATTCAGCCACCATTCAGCCAGTTATTTCAATAATGAGTACGCATTGAGGTATTCATTGTTCCACGGTCTGTCGTTTGTGTTGGATCTTTTAAAATATACTTATATTGCGCATGTTGTTTTGGTACCATTTCTCAATTGGTTGTTGTACTATGATTTAACCACTGTAAAATATCGTTTAAAGTAGATATTAACTGTTGGCTCATCAGAAAAGTAATTCTGAGCGCTGACTTCGTTTTTTAATTTTAATATGATTTTATTCGAAGCTTTTAAGGGTTTAAGAAAAGTAGATTAAAATTTCTGTTTTTCTCTGCTAATGTGTTCAATATCTATATTTAACTAATTTTGTAAGAATTTTGACTGATTCCGAACTCCATTTAAATACTTATGTACCTAAAGCGATCATAACCTATTGTACTATATATACTATATGGGCTGAAAGGCTTTTGGCCTGACTGAGAGATCGCCTCAAATCAATAATTACTTGCTGTCGATGTGTACCATACTGCATTTTATTCGGCTGAAGAGCCGGCTCACTCAGATTCAAAAAGTGGATCATCTATCAAAGAAGTATGGGCGATGAGGTTAGAAGATGCGGCGTTGGAGTGTCTGGGAAACAATAAACTTGTATATCAAAATCGATTATTTTAGTTGCCATGAACTGCGATATATTTAGAATATCTACAAAAAACAACCCTGAGAGTAATAATCGATAATGACTTTATAAAGAGCTTAATCGTTCAGCTTTTTCGTACCGGACCTGCACATATATGAGCACATACAGTTCGTACTTACGTAGCGTTTTTATACATACATACATATGTGCTGATGCTATCGCAAAATTCCTTGCATGGTTTGTTATTCGACAAATTGTTGCATGCTTTTGTATGCCATCATTTTCATTGCACCTTTTTGATGTTCATCACGACTTATTAAGAATTAATAGTATTACATTTATTATCATTAAATTACATATTGAAGAACGAGTGACAATAAAAAGGAGAACTAGTTATTTCAACGATTGTATACGAATACTTTTAATGTTTCTCATTTGGGTTATTGTATGAAAACACGTGCCAGAAACCTGTTTTATAATATTGTTTTGAATAAGAAAGGTAACAGCTTATCTCCTTCAGATGAACCTTATCAATAGTGAGCCTCTTATTTATATTATAATGATATATAATATATAAAATATCTATAAATTAGTTTTTAGTAGTATTTAGATTTTCAGAGAACTACAGATCCCAGAAGGCAAGCGTGAAAATTTAGTATGCAAATACAATTTCTTATGCGACTCAATCTTATACAATGTACCGACCGACATTTAACTCAGATTTAGGCTGTGAGTAGATTATCTCACTAATCTACTGAATTTTTAATCTCGTCACCGAGGAGATTTAACGCCATCTGTTTGTCAGTAGGGAAATTTATGACATTATCACAAAGAGAAAAAAATGTTAACAAACAAATAAATTATAACCATTGCATCTGAATTCACCTGGCAATCGACTTCCCAAATGGAAAATGCGTACAATATTTCCATTGAGAGGAGAATATTTTAAAGATGACTTTATAACAAAATGTGACATTACAATGCTTGCTTTTAATAAATATTAAACGATATGAATTTTTAATGTCAAAAACAACTGTTTTATAAATCTCCAACGGCTGTGAGGACACACTTGATAAGTGATTATATTACATTGAATCTTGTTTAAAATTTTGGTCGAAATATGGTATCCACCATTCAGCCAGTTATTTCAATAACATGCATTGAGGTATTCATTGTTCCACGGTCTGTCGTGGATCTTTTAAAATATACCCATATTGCGTATGTTGTTTTGGTACCATTTCTCAATGGTTGTTGTACCATGATTTAACCACTGTAAAATATCGTTTGAAGTAGATATTATCTGTTGGCTCATCAGAAAAGAATTCTGACGTGACTTCGTTTTTAATTTTAATATGATTCTATTCGAAGCTTTTAAGGGTTTAAGTGAGATTAAATATCTGTTTTCTCTGCCAATGTGTTCAATATCTATATTTAACTAATTTGTAGATTTATGATTCCGAACTCATTTAAATACTTATGACCTAAAGCGATCATAACTCATTGTACTATCTATATGGTCTGAAAGGCTTTTGGCCTGACTGAGAGACTCTCAAATCAATAATTACTTGTCGAGTGTACACATACTGCATTTTATTCGGCCAAAGAATTTAACCCATATATGTAGTATATGTTCGTTTTATTCCATTTTATTAGTATCGAATAACAGAATATATTGTAGTCAACACGCATATTACACTTTCAAATGGAGACAAATACTGTTTTATAAGGTGCATATAAATATTATTGACCAGCTATTGCAAAATCATTTGAAGATTGGTCGTTGAGTCAGATCTTAATTTGTCGCCTGTACGTCATCAAGTGATCGACGCACAATGCGGAAATTAACTTCATTAAAACTCAAATTGCCATTTGCGACTTTCTGCAATTTGAAACATTAACAGTTACTGTGTACAAATTAAGCCACGTTTTAGAAAGCAATTGCTTACCTGATAGCGATTAGACATCATCCATAATCCTCATTGCCGGTGGTTTTGTGACTTCATGCGCTTACAAACTCCAGCAGTTGAGGATCTGCCGGCATTTGAACATTATACGGTTTATTCGGATTCCAGCGAGTCAACATGACTGGATTTAATGTAACACAGTAGAATTGTTTTGACTATCAATCGCCTCGGCGGCACATGAACTGCCACGTGTGGCCACCTGACGGAAAGCCAGCGGCATGGCACCCGAATTGTTCTCAAAATGGGTAGATTGCTTACGACGCTCAACGGCACTGCATACTCGTGGACAGAAGCCAATGGATGGAAGTTACTGTCATCACTGGCCAAACCAAATATGCCATCCATTAGAGTGAACTCACCGGCAAGTGAGGTGTACCATTTTCGGGATTGGGATACATGACTATTCTGGATACGCCAGTGTATTTAACTCCGAGTCATATACAACCAAACCATGCAACGCGACATCAGTCTTGAGATTTATTAGCATAAACAAAACCAAGAAAATAATAAGGACACGAGTTAAGAGCAATTAAGTGAGCGAAAGTTGAAATCAGAATCTTACGTACCATGTAGATTGTACTTTGCTACAGCTACCTGTTGGGAGGATCGTTCACAGAAACTGTTGCGTGATGAAGAGTGAAGCGGTGCTGTGTAGTGCTTGGATCGAAACGATAACGATAGGACAAGGTATCGCTGTTTAAATCGAAGACAAGTAGCTGGAGAACAAGTTGAACGAGCGATAATGCCCGAATCAAGTACGAACAGCTGATTGCACCTGTGATTACAAGGTGGTAGAAAGAAGTGAAAATATTAACACATACACATGATCAACATGAACTTAAACTTACTGCCACGGAATACAGAAGTAATTTATCACAATCACTACCATTTGAATTGTGCCAACTGTAATCGGGATATGGCTGCAGGACTGGTCCATCGCCTCATTGGCTCAGTCACCACCGCCAAAGTATACGGAATGCCCGTTGAATCTGGGTACGTTGAAAGACACGTGATCCCTTTCGCCTGTGAAGTGTGTGGAAATTGGTGATTTTTATTGCTACTTAAGTTGAACATTACTTACAGTCCTGATGGACCGCCAACTGATGGGTGTTGCATTTTCGGATAAATTGCCATTGTCTATTGCGTCTTGACGATCTGCTTGCGTGGCGAAGCCAAATACCATTTTTTCTCATAGACTGTCTCCACCTCGAGTTGTTCAGCACTCAGTATGGCGTGTGGCATTAGAGCCAATAACAGTACAGCGAAGAATCCTCCCCACATCATGCTGATTTCGTAAGTAGAACTATTGCTGTGAAATGTAGAAAACTAATGAACCTTATAACGATGGTCTAGTTATATGATGGACTGAAAGAGAACTTGAATTAATTTAATTGAAAAATATAAAATTTATTTGTACTTATTTTTAGTAGACTTACTTTACGCAGATACATTTATATATGTATGCAAACATATATATTTGTTTTGAAATAATATCAACAGCCTACAACTAATTTATCTACAGTGAAACTCTTTCAAATTAAACATGTTATCCAATATTTTATTATCATTGGTTGTTGTTATTATACAACAATACAGGTATTTGAATATTAATACTCGAACTCGAGTTCGTTTTATCCCCGTGTTCGTTCGAGGTAGGTATTGAATCTTTGAGTGGAAATATAGCTGAACTATCTTTACAGCATATTGAACGATATTTTATAGAAGCTGTGTGTTTGTAATTTGTTTAAAGCCTTATCCGATTTTCTAGTCTAAACATGGAAATATATGTTTTGGGATCCGCCATTGTTGTGTTCTTAATTATATAATTGTTTGCTTTATCTCTGACAGCGATGTTTTACTTATATGTACAAATTTTGGTTTTCATTATGTGCTTGATAAATATCTGTGAAATGGTCTCAATCAATTGAAAGAGTTTTTATTGTAATACTGAATATTTCTTCCACAGGAATGCCAAAATTAAGATATTCTTAGAGATGTATATTGTTATATATAATACGTTCCTTAACTTGCAGACGTCCATTCATCCTGTTAGTGACGATAAAATCGAAAAAGTTGAAGAAAGGTGCTTGAAAAGTAGTGTTGGATAATCTCTTATAGACCGATCCAACCATTTCTGTTCATCTTGTATTCAGCGTGTTAATGCTAAACGCGAAGTTTCTTTGATTTCAAATATTTTCAACTGAGTGAGGTTTCAATGGGATTGGTTCAACAAAATAGGTGTTTGATCAACAAAGTCTTAGCAACAATACTATTCCTTTTGGACAACGTAAATACTAATATTTCATTAGATTGGGGCTAAAGAGAAATGAAAATATAGAAACGGCTCAGGAAGAATACAGCAAGAATAATATTATTATTTGTATGGGTAAAGGGTCAGAAATCTTGAATGGGATGATAATGATTGAACCTCGATATAGATGAACTCGTAGAGAAAACCGGACTCCAGGATGATTATAGCAATTGTCGCCTATCCCCTTCACCCTTCTCTCTTGCACTGAATGTACTATAGACGGATTATTCACTCTCAGTACAAACCCGCCAACGTCAGACAAAACGGACTTTTCATAAACATTTAGCCGAATTTGAGTAAAACTTAAGTGATTAGATATATCCATTTGTAAGTCAGAAAAATATTTTTTTAAAAATGTCTCTGAAGAGACCAAAATTTATTAGAGAATAGGTGATACAGGTAATGTCGAAAGGCCAGTAAAAAGTTTGATTTTGACAAAATGGCGGCTTTCCAAAATGGACTAGTTTTGTGAAAAGGTTTCACTTCAAAGTGGTCAACAAATCAATTATTATTAAAATATTATTCTTTCGATCGCTACCAGACAAATATATCTAAAAGGTGTGTAAAATTTCAAGTTGATTGGTCTAGTTTCGGAGAAAGTTTCCTCGCCGACTCTGAATCAATTTCATATTTGAATAATATTTCAAATAGTTGAACATTTGAAATGACCACGATGAGTTGACCACATAAACACATAATAGTTTCTCGTTATTTTCAAATAATACAATTTAGGAGATCGCGCTGGGGTTTACACATTTTTCGACTTATAGTTCAAAACAAAATATGCACAAAGATAAATATCTACTTAACACCATTTTATTCACAGTAACTTACGGTTATATAATATCTCAAAACAGATCAAATACTGTATATACAATCAGAAAAGTAAATAAAAACACCGCCAGACGTCAGAGCACTTTCCCATTTGGTTCAATAAACCGGGGTCGACTGTAGGTGCGCGCACCACTTGTCAAGTTTACAGAGGATGTCCCTACAGCATTGTGATAAAGTACTTCCTTCTCGTCGACATATGTAACTGCTTTTATTTTCTATCTGTATGATAATATATATATATATATTTATTTATATATATGTTATGATACATACATATATTATATATATACATTTGAACACTGACACATTTAATTAGTGTACGTATTTCCTCCCCAAGCAAACGGGTGGCAGTCAACGTATAATAACGGGAAGGACTCTCAACTACGATATTAGTTGAACAAAATGTACAATTGCGATGGACCCGCTATTGGTGGTGGATTTGGTGCTGGTGGCAATAGTATGGGCGCCATTGCGCCCGTTCCATCGTCTGTTGCAGTCTCGGCGCCAGCGCAGCTGCTCCTGGTCGTCCAGCAGGAATGCAAATTTGATTGGCAGTTTTCTTGGTGGCCTTCTTAGGGTTTGGGATTGCGAGGAGATTAACAATGCTGATGTGACAACGGAAATAACTAATGAGATTTAATAGCATATATTACAGAGAAACACAACGAAAGCATATTCAAAGAGCTCAATGATCTTTACTCTACATTAATAATAACTCGAATTGCAAACTCAGTATTATAATTTATTTAATACATTAATAATAAAGTAAAAATCAAATTTAAACATATTTTTATTCAATGAATTCGCTATCTTGATTCTCACTTTTTCAAGGATAAAATTACCGAAAGATCAATAAACATTGCAGAATATGGCCCGTTTTTATTTTGTTCCATAATACGACGGACATGATGAGTGGCTTACCATCTGAACAAATTTAACCGGGGT